ATTACTAACAATCATTAACTCTGTGTGTTCATAGTGATTCTTTAAACTTTTCTGTGTTTGACATCTTTTATCATAAATAGTTGGGAGGAGCTTTGTGTAATTACATACAATATGATCTTAATTATATTTTAAAGTTCATCAAGATCTGTAAATAAACCAAAACGTTAACAATGGTCATTTCTGGATGGCGGTATTGTTTCTCCTCCTTATATATTGCTATAATTTATCTTTTTTTTTTTTTTTTTGAGATGGAGTCTTGCTCTGTTGCCAGGCTGGAGTGCAGTGGTGCGATCTCAGCTCACCACAACCTCCGCCTCCTGGGTTCAAGCAATTCCCCTGCCTCAGCCTCCCAAGTAGCTGGGATTACAGGCACCCGCCACCACGCCCAGCTAATTTTTTGTATTTTAGTAGAGATGGGGTTTCACCATGTTAGCCAAGATGGTCTCCATCGCTTGACCTCATGATCTGCCCACCTCAGCCTCCCAAAGTGCTGGGATTACAGGCGTGGGCCACTGTGCCGGCCACATGTTACTGCAAATTTTCTATAACTAAATTGTCCTTTATAGAAAAAATTTTACTTATTATTATTATTTTTTTAATTTATTTTATGTTTTTGAGATGAAGTCTTGGTCTGTCGCCCAGGCTTCAGTGCAATGGTGCAATCTCGGCTCACTGCAACCTCTGCCTCCCAGGTTCAAGGGATTCTCCTGCCTCAGCCTCCCAGTAGCTGGGATTACAGGCGTGCACCACCACGACTGGCTAATTTTTGTATTCTTAGTAGAGATAGGTTTTCACCATGTTGGCCAGGCTGGTCTCCAACTCCTGACCTCAGGTGATCCACCTGCCTCCGCTTCCCAAAGTGCTGGGATTATAGGCGTGAGCCACCACACCTGGCCAGATTTTTACTTTTTAAAGAGGAAATATTGTAAATCACTGCGAAAACTAACAAAAGTTGCTGGTTCCTAAGAAAGCATTTCATCTTTGAACTTCCAAGTTAATAAAATCCCTACAATTTTCATTATTAAGAATATTAGGGGTTATAGTGCCATTTAAATACTGATGATACTCTTTGGTATGTCTTGTAGTAGGCATTGCAGACAATTTCTAATGCTTTACCTAATGTTTAATTAAAGGACTGAATTGAAAAAAGTGATGTAACACAGTTAAAGTAGAAAAATGTGGGGCTCAAATTCAATCTGTGCCCTTATTATTTGTGTGAATTTAGGCATGTTACTTAAACTCTGTCTCCCACTCCTCATCTGTAGAACGGAAATAGGACAACTGACTTCCCAATATTTTTGTAAGGTTTAATTGAGAAAACATCTGTAAAACCTAATATGGTGCCTGGTCCATAGATTGTCTTCAATTAGGAGAGGGCTGAAAAAATTAGATAATATAATAAGCAGCTAAACAATGTCTGACCAGCAGCCAGTGCTGGATAAGTAGTAATCTATAGACCAGAATGATTTTTTTCCTGTGATCTTTTGTTTCCTACACAGAATGCCACGGTCTACTAGAATGGGAGTTTCAAGAGAGCTACTTCCCCAGTGCCTAGGACAGTGCCTGGAGGGCAGCAGGCATCCCATAACAGACTGCTGAAAGAATGGAAGCATGACCATGTCATTGCAAGGATGGACTGAAGAATGAATGCCCTCAGACAGACACATCTTGGTTCACAGTGCCTAAGGGAAGATGAAAGTTGCTCTGGTTGTAGTGGGCATAGACTGAGCTATTACAGTGAAGACAGGTTTCACTGAACCTTCCTGGGGGCAGTGACCACGGGGATGGCTGGAAGTGGCTGTCAATTTGCTGGGCTTTTAGGATGCTCTGAACAGGCAAATCTCATCAAGCGGCTTCTCCATCTAAAGGCTGTGCCTGATGTCCCTTTGCTGGTAGGATAAAATCCAAACTCCTTCCCGGGCCTATCAGTCTCTCTGCTCACCTCTGGCTACTCTCCTCCTCTCACTGCAATGTCTGGCTGCACTGGACTTTTTCCAGTTCCTAAATACTATCATGCCATGTTCTGCCTGCGGTACCTTCTCCCTGGCAACTCACATTTTATCCACTCATGTCTCACCCGTGTCTGACATCTAGTGTGTACATATCCTTCAGGTATCAGCTTAAATGTCACTTACTTGAGAATCTTCCTTAACAAATATCCCTTCCCAAACTTGCCCACCATCCCGGTGAGGTTAGGGACCCTTCCTGTGTGTCCTCACAGCTCTCTGTATTTGTTCTACTTTAGCACTTCAACCCTGTAAGGCAGTTTTGGGGTCTTTCCCCGACAATTAGAATGTAAGTTCCGGCCCGGCGCAGTGGCTCTCACTTCTAATCCCAGCACTTTGGGAGGCCGAGGCGGGCGGATCACGAGGTCAGGAGATTGAGACCACGGTGAAACCCCATCTCTACTAAAAATACAAAAAATTAGCCGTCGCGGTGGCGGGCTCCTGTAGTCCCAGCTACTTGGGAGGCTGAGGCAGGAGAATGGCGTGAACCCGGGAGGCGGAGCCTGCAGTGAGCTGAGGTCGAGATCACGCCACTGCACTCCAGCCCGGGCTACAGAGCAAGACTCTGTCTCAAAAAAAAAAAAAAAAAAAAAAGAATGTAAGTTCCAAGATATTAATGATTTTCATGTTTTCTTTACTGCTTCACCAAGAGTGCCTAATGCCTGCCTAATAGTAGACACTCCATAATTATTTGTTGAATAAAATGAATGAATTTTCCATGTCTAGATTGTAGTAAGTTCCATGAGACCTGGTTTTGTGTTGATTCCTGCATAATTAACAGAAAGTACAGTGTCTGGCACAGAGTAGTTACTCATCAAATATTTATCAAATAAATAAATGTTATTTAATACTGATTATCCATTTATACTTCATGTAAGTGCTTATTTCAGAGATCAAATGAGAAGGAGTGTCAAATATTTCAGTTGTTTCACCTTTTATTCTATTAATGCTTCCATATGTTATGCTGCTTTTACATTCAAATTATTCACTTAGCAACACTTAAACATTCTCTACTATCTATGATATACAGCACCAGTGATACCAATTCCCAATTTTAAAAAATTTACTTACTATCTACCTTCATTGTTTTTATTGTTGTTACCATGTATTTTGGGTTTAGAATAAGCCAACCAAGGGTCACCAAAAGCCCAAACAACAAGTATTACTATCTCTGACACTTGACTTTAAGTCTTTCATCAGGAACATAAATCAGATACCTGAATTCAATTACATCCCCGTGAAAACCACCTCCAATCACCTTTGTAAATACCAATAATGTGAACAAGTAAGTAGATTCTCAGAACATCAGTGTGCAATCCAACAATAACTTGGAGAAAAGTTAACCTTGCAAAAATATCCCTCTCTCTCATTTTCAGAAAATTATACTACAATTAAGTGGGGCAAAAAGGTGAACAAAGGCATCAAAAACTCCATTAGCCATAGGTTTCTTCTTTGATTTAATAATATATATATACATAAACAACCTCCTAAGACCTGGAGGTTGTTGATTTATTTGTTTTGTGGGATTTTTTGGTACATATCTGTCATTATATTTAAAGTTAATGTTTTTTTCTCATTATTAATCACACCAAAATTCATACATTGTTGAATGGCTGAGCAACCAGGCTATCGGGGTCATTTTTTTGTTTGTTTTTTGAGATGGAGTCTCACTCTGTCACCCAGGCTGGAATGCAGTGGCATGATCTCCGCTCACCACAGCCTCTGCCTCCTAGGTTCAAGTGATTCTACTGCCTCAGCCTCCCAAGTAGCTGGGACTAGAGGCATGCACCACCACACCCGGCTAAAATTTTTTTGTATTTTTAGTAGAGACGGGGTTTCACCATGTTGGCCAGGATAGTCTCGATCTCCTGACCTCGTGATCTGCCCACCCAGGCCTCCCAAAGTGCTGGGATTACAGGTGTGAGCGACCATGCCTGACTTATTTTTTATTTTTTATTAATTATTATTATTATTTTATTTTATTTTATTTTGAGACAGAGTCTGGCTCAGTCACCCAGGCTGGAGTGCAGTGACACTTCTTGGCTCACTGCAACCTCCGCCTCCTGGGTTCAAGTGATTCTTCTGCCTCAGCCTTCTGAGTAGCTGGGATTACAGGCATAAGCAACAAAACTGGCTAATTTTTGCATGTTGGCCCGGCTGGTCTCAAACTCTGGACCTCAGGTGATCCGCCCGTCTCAGCCTCCCAAAGTGCTGAGATTACAGGTGTGAGTCACTGTGCCCAGCCTATCGGGGTCATTTATTTTTTTATTTTATTTTTTTTAGACAGAGTGTCACTCTGCAGCCAGGCTGGAGTGCAGTGGTGCGATCTTGGCCCGGTGCGATCTTGGCCCATTTCAATCTCTGCCTCCCAGATTCAAGTGATTCTCCCGCCTCAGCCTCCCAACTGGCTGGGACTACAGGCGCGTACCACCACGCCCAGCTAATTTTTGTAGTTTTAGTAGAGACAGGGTTTCACCATGTTAGCCAGGATGGTCTCCATCTCTTGACCTTGTGATCTGCCTGCCTTGGTCTCCCAAAGTGCTGGGATTACAGGCGTGAGCCATCGCGCCCAGTCTGGGTCATTTAATTTTTATTTAGTGCATGAGCTGGTGATATTGAAAGTGCTGCAAGCCTTCTTATCAGAGCAGAATCTGCTAGTTAGGGTTTCTGCTAAATGATGAGCAAATCTGCAGCATCACTCTCACTGCTCATCCCTGTGGAGTGATTAATGGTAGCCAGAGTTAAGACCCTCAGCCAGTGGTATAGCAAATGGGACTGAGACTTAAGGCAATTTGCCCTGATGCCATAAATGCTTTTGAAATTGATTTGAATTAATTCATCTTTAAACCACTTAGTTTCAGAAAGGATTTATGACCATGTCCAAAGGCACAGTAAATATAATCCAGCAAGATAAAAATATATGTATAAGTAAGTGAGGCCAGTGTGGCACAGGAGAAATACAGATGGGGCATCACAGGGCTCCTCTCCTCTTACCTGTGTACTGCAACCCCCTGTACTCGCTTATTGCCCCAGGAGGTTTTAAATTGGGCCAGTAGTGGAAAAGCATTTGCACAGCTGGAGGCTTCACTTGTGAAGGCCCATACGCAATCACATACAAAAGATCCTAAAGGAAACAGCAAGCATATTTTGACTTAGCATCATGAAATAAAAAGAAAGGTAGAGACTTCAACATTACCAAAGCAGTGAAAATTCTAATGGAGGGGTTGAGGTGAGTAATTTCCCTGGAATCTCATGCAGGCATGTTTCATAGATTAGATCCCGTTAAAACATTATATTTTTATGATTTACGTATTTACTGGTCCTTCTGTAAATGAGCCCTCACAGGTAGAGTACAAAGTACTTTATCTTCTAACAAATTCGTCTCTAATCAGATTGACGTTAAGGAAAGATTTTAGAGTAGCATAAGACAGTTTGCCAAATACTGCATTTGAAAAAATATTTCCCTAATCACATTTCTTAAACATTCACATCTCCTATTTGAAAGAGGACAGATTCTCAAGCAACCTTTCAAATTAAATAAAATTGTTTGTCATAACACATAACATTAGCTTAATTCCAAGAATAAGATACATCCAATTACTTTATCCATCAAGACACGATGTTCTTAAAGTACTATTTCTGCTCTAAATGATAAATAATTAACCATTAAAGAAAGAATTATAGGTACTGCCACATCAAAATAATAGGACGTCAATAAATTTGACCTAAACAACAGTTTTAATATGTAAACAATTTTTACTGTATTATACAAATTAACTTTGTGACTATGGGTTAAATTTGACCCAAAACTTACTTTCCAGACTTCTTGTTTATATTTCATGAGGCATTCCAGTAATTGACAATGATACACTGTAATGTAGAAAATGTAATTCGTACATGAAATGTAAATACCAAACAAAACATCCTTTGATATATATATAACAAATTACTTCAATATGACTTTTCAGTCTCTAATCATTAAATTAGAAATAACTTCTGTCCATATGTTCATACTTAAAAAATATCACATAAGCCCTTGACCTTATCAAGCTTTGTCCCAAGGTCCTTGAGAATTATTTCATGCTTCATGTTAACAACGGAAATATTTTTAAAGTCCCTAGTAATCATACATTCATAAAATAAACTTGTATCAACATAAGATCTACATAGGAAAAAAAAACTAGCCCAACAGAATCATAATAAAAGCTCATATTTATTGAACATTCATCATTTGCTAGATATTGTAGAAAGAGCTTTATACGTATTGTCTCACAATTACCATGGTGCAGTTAGGAAACTAAGGCTCAGTTTCCAACTTGCCCAAGGTTGAATGGATAGCAAGTGACAGACTTGATGGATTAGAGTGGGGTTTATCATTTCATCATCAGTTCCATCTTATAGAGGAATTTTTAAAAGCTACACGACAGCAAGATTCCTTGATTTGCCTATCTTCACTTGGGGAACAAAGATACTTTCAACCTAGTTAGATGCCTTTTGATACCTTCCCTAATCTATATTCCAGGCTTATGCTGACATTGAAGCAGTTCACACTTTATTCACCAATGACCTCCATGTCATTCAATCCAATGGACATTTTTCAGTCTGCATCTTACTTGACTTTTCAGCCACATTCAGTACTGCTGACTACTGTCTCCTTTTTGAAACACTCTTTCCTTGGCTTCATAATATGAATGACCCTCCCCTGTCACCTGTGGTGGACAACACTGTTACTACTCAACTGCTGTCAACACCCTTTTTTCTTGTCCATTTGCCAATTGATATGGTTAAGTTGTGTGTCCCCACCCAAATCTCATCTTGAATTGTAATCCCCAGGTTTTAGGAAGAGACCAAGTGGGAAGTGATTGGATCATGGGGGCAGTTTGCCCAATGCTGTTCTCGTGATAGTGAGTGAGTTCTCACGAGATCTGATGGTTTCATAAAGGCAGTTTTCCCTGCACTTGCTAGCTGCCTCATTCCTGCCATCATGTGAAGAAGGTCTTTGCTTCCCCTTCACCTTCTACTGTGATTGTTAAGTTTCCTGAGGCCTCCCCAGCCATGTGGAACTGTGAGTCAATTAAACTTCTTTTCTTTATAAATTACCCAGTCTCTGGCAGTTCTTTATAGCAGTGTAAAAACGGACTAATGCACCAATACACAGACTACAAAAGCAAGATATTTTCCCAGAGCCCCTTGTAGCTACAGGTGGCCATGTGACTCAGTTCTGGACAGTAAGAATGAAGAGAAAATCTGCTGGGGAGCTTCTGAGACATACTTTCTCCCTCTGATAAAACAAAAGAGGTACACCAGGAGACTTTTCTCTTAATGACTCTGCTTGATCCTATTACCTGTTTTTGCATGTAGTTGTGTAAGGTTATAACAACCTCCACAGTGGCAGCCTTCTTGCAAATATGAGGGGAATTCCAAGATCTCAGTCCCCTCATATTGTGGAGCTCTCTTCAGGACTTCCTATTAAGTAAACAACCAATGTGCTTATACTTTAAAGCCTCTGTCAGCCAAAGACATCTTAACAGTGCAACCTCTCTGTCTCTTTGGAGAGCTCATCCTCTTCCACTGGGCCATTATCTGTTGAAGTTCCTGAAGGCCTAGTCACAGAACCACTCCACATTTCTTTCATTCTCTGCTCTCCCCTAAGCAATCTCACACTCATTCACAACTTCAGCAGCCATCTATATGTAATTCAATGAAGGGCACTGGACACTTGTGTGTGGGCTCAAAGTTCATTAGCTCTAGTCTAAAGCTCTGTTCTGAGTTCCAGACTCATAATACAACTACCTAATTACCAGCTCCTATTAGGTGTCTCAAAGATACCGTGAACACAACACGTCTGAAACAGATCTCAAGATCTTCCCTCAGAGGCCTGATCTTCTTCTTCCAATGCCTCCTTTATCAGTGAGTAGAACCACTGTTACAGTTTGCATCTGTGTCTCCACCAAATCTCAGGTTCAGTTGTAATCCCCAATGTTGGAGGTAGGGCCTTAAAAACTTAAAAAGGTGATTGGATCATGGGAGTGGGTCCTTCATGAATGGTTTAGCACCATCCCTTTTGTGCTACTCTCATGATACAGTTCTCACAAGATCTGGTTGTTTAAAAGTGTGTGGCACCATGCCTGTAATCCCAGCACTTTGGGAGGCCGAGGCGGGTAGATCAAAACTCCTGAGGTCAGGAGTTCAAGACCAGACTGGCCAACATGGTGAAACTCCGTCTGTACTAAAAATACAAAAAATTAGCTGGGTGTGGTGGTGCGCGCCTGTAATCCCAGCTACTCAGGAGGCTGAGGCAGGAGAATTGCTTGAACCTGGGAGGTGGAGGTTGCAGTGAGCTGAGATTGCGCCACTGCACTCCAGCCTGGGCAACAAGAGCAAAACTCTGTCTCAAAAAAAAAAAAAAAAAAGTGGCAACTCCCCTTCTCTCTCTTCCTCCTGCTCGAGCCATGTAAGACGTGCTTCCCTTTTGCCTTCTACCATGATTATGAGTTTTCTGAGTCTCCTCTTAGAGACAGGAGCTACTATGCTTCCTGTACAGCCTACAGAACCATGAGTCAATGACACCTCTTTTCTTTATATACTACCTAGTCTTAGGTATTTCTTTATAGCAATGTAACAACAAACTAATATGACCACCATGCATCCAGTTAGTGCATCCAGAAACCCACTCTAGCCAATATGTTACCAAGACTTATCAATTTTACTCCTAAATAGTTCTCAGATAGATCTGCTTGTTCTTCAGTTTCAATTGTCCCTGCCTTTGAAGTGCTTAGACAAATGCAATGACCTCCTTCCAGGTCAATTTATACACAACCTAACTTCTTTTCAATCTGTTCTCAACTGCAGTGGGGGTGACACACACCACAGCCCACTCAAAGCCCGTCAGCAGCTTCCCATTAGATTTGGAATAAACACAGGCCTCCCTAACAGAGCTCACAACACCCTGCATGTTCCAGGCCATGGAACTTTAAGTCTAATGTCACACCAGGGAACCCTCACTCTGAGTTCCAGCTACACTGATCCTTCAGTCTCAGCTGTTTGCCATGACACATGAGATTCCTCTTCCTGAACCATCCCTCCTTGTAGGCCTTGTTCACACTACTCATCCTGCAGTTCTCAAACCAAAGGTTACTTCCTCAAAGAAGCTCTCCTGACTTCCTCAATAAAAGCAAAATTTCCTTTTATAACATCTTATAGCATAACGTACCTGAAGCACTTGTCACAAGTGGAACTTTACACTTGATTTTATGATTATTTGATTGTCTTCTCGCCTCTCACCCCAACCATATGATAAGCTTCCTGAGATGAGGATGGGGTCAGTCGCATGTCACTAAGCATGGAGCCCCCAGTGCCTAGCACATGGTGGATACTCACTGACTACTGATTGAATGGTCGCTCTAGAATTGGAAATTTGGTCTTAAGTCATCACTGAATTCTCAAGTGCAGATGTTCCAAGACACTTTCTCAGACACAGTGTCTGCTATTCTCCACGGGTATGCTATATGAACCTTGTTCAGAGCCGTCCACTGACCCATGAATGTACCTGGATGGTTCCTTTGTTAAAACAGCTTCCCCTCCCAGAATGCCCCATTTACCTTATCAATAAAAACTCTGTCCCGCCAGGCATGGTGGCTCATGCCTGTAATCCCAGCACTTTGGGAGGCCAAGACAGGCGGATCACTTGAGGTCAGGAGTTCGAGGCCAGTCTAGCCAACATGATGAAACCCCATCTCTACTAAAAATACAAAAATTAGCCAAGCATAGTAGCATGTGCCTGTAGTCCCAGATACTGGGGAGGCTGAGGCAAGAGAATTGCTTGAACCCAGGAGGCAGAGGTTGCAGTGAGCCATGCCACTGCGCTCCAGCCTGGGCAACAAAGTGAGATTCCATCTCGAAAAATAAAACAAAACAAAACTCAGTCCATAATTTAAAACTCATCCTTGGCCCAAGTGACACAAAGTCTTTTCTGATCTTTTCAATCCATACAAGTCCCTCCTTCTGATGAATTAACACTGTCTACTGTATTTATTTAGTACTCCTATGTACTACATTACATTGTCAACTAATGACTTACGTAAATATGCCTGATCTTCCCAATTAGACATAAACTTCATAGCAAGCACCATATCTTATGTTTTTCTGTGGTTTCCACAATGTCTAGCACAGAGCCCTGTATATAGAAGGTGCTCAATGAATGCTGGTTACTTAAGTAAGGATTGTGCTCTATCCTTGATACACAATCAGCTATAAGGAACAAGTTGCCAGTTGCACTTCTTCCAATAAAAATTCAAACAACAGAACGATGACCTACTGCTTGGTCCCAGAGAGCCCCTGGTGGATGTTGCCTCACTTAAGTGCTTCCTATATCACAAGACTAGTTTTGGGTCCCAACTATGATTCCTAGTATAGAGTAGCTGGTTATAAACATTTCCTCATGAGCAAATGAAGATACAGATTTTCAAATAATAGATGCAACTCTGTCTGACCACAGTAGTTTTCCAGTGAAACATTCAACTCAACATTCAACTCCAAGAAGAAAATGGCAAATTGTAGGGATTCACTACTTATTGAGAATTTACAATGTGTCAGTCACTAAAGTAAGCACTTTACATATATGTAACCCATTAAATCTTCACGGCAGCATTTTAAAGTACTGCAGGAAGAATTATTTCCATTTTATAGATGAGGACACTTGGTTTCAGGGGGTAAAACACTTACTCAAGTTCACTAACTGGCAATTTGCAGGTAAGCTCAGATGTGAATCCACATATGACTAATCTCAAAGCACCCTGCTTTACTACCCATCTAGCTTAGAAATTTGGACCAAACTCTCATGATGAGACTCTAATTAACTAGATTCCAAAAAATGGTTTTATTAAGGATATAATATATAATAAATATAATATTTTGATTATTTTAAGCCAGATATATAAGATATAATTTCCCCATATATATTTTTAATTATATCTATATAATAATCATAAGAGATTTCATACTTAAAGAATGCTACAGACTGAATGTTTGTGCCACCTCAAAATTCTTCTGTTAAATCCAAACCCCCTAATGTGATAGTATTAACAAGTGGAGCCTTTAAGAGGTGATCAGTGCCCTTATAAAAGAGGCTGCAGAGAAATCCCTTGTCCTTTCTGTCATCTGAGGACACAGCAGAATGACAGCCATTCATGAACCAGGAAATGAGTTCTCACAGATCATCCAATCTATCAGCACCTTGATTTTGGACTTCCTAGCCCCTGGAACTATGAGAAACAAATGTGCATTGCTTATAAGTCATCCAGTTTATAGAATTTTTGTTATAGCAACCCAAATGGACTAAAACAGAAAATCGGTACTGAGAAGTGGGGTGACGCTGTAACAAATAGCTGAAAATGTGGGAGAGGCTTTGGAACTGGGTAACAGGTAGGGGCTGGAAGAGTTTTGATGTGCAGGCTAGAAAAAAAACCTATATTGCCATGAATAGACCTTTAAAAGCAATTCTGGCAAGGGTTGAAAAAGAAAAGAGGAAAGCAGTAGAAAAAGCCTCAATCTTCTCAGAGAATACCTAAATGATCCTGAAGAGAATGTTAGTATAAATATGAACAGTAAAGGCAATTCTGATGCAATCTCAGACAGAAATGAGGAACACATTACTGGAAAGTGGAGGAAAGGCCATCCTTGCTATGAAGTGGCAAAGAACTTGGCTGAATTGTGTTCATGTCCTAGTGTTTTGTGGATGGTAGAACTTGTGAGTGATAAAATTGGATACTTGGCTAAGAAAATTTCTTAGCAAAGTGTTGAAGGAGCAGCTGGATTTCTTCTGACTGCTAATACTGTAATAAAATGTGAGGAGAGAGAACGATCCAAAGACAGAATTGTTCATCAAAGAGGAAGAAGAACTTAAAGATTTGGAAGACTCTCAGCCTATCTGTATTGAAAGGATGAAGAAGCCTATTAGGAAGAGAATGGTGAGAGTGTAGCCAAGTGACCATTTAATAAGATTAGTCAGCTATCTCAACAGAAACCAGGAGGTATTGTCCAAAACAATGGAAGAATGACCCCAGAGGCACTTCAGAAATCCTCTGCACTGCCCCTCCCATCACAGACCCAGAGTGCAAGGACCCTGGGGGAAAAATGGTTTCAAAGGAGAGGCCACCAGCACTTTTGAGACTTCAGGACATGCCACACCCTCACAAGGCACCTTCTCACTTTGTAAAATTCAGTTCTATATTCCAGTGCCTCACTGTTCAGCTGCCCTTTGGGCAAAGCAGCATGCACTGTACCCAGAAAAGGCATGGGGGTGTAGTCACCTCCACCTAGATTTCAAAGGATGCCCAGAAGAGCTGGAACTCCACCCTGAGAGAGTCATGCGCACCGGACCCCAGCCTGCAGAGTGGGGCCCAGGAAGGGAACCACTGTGAGGGCCAGGGTCACTGTAGAGAACCCCCACCAGGGCAATGCCCAGCAAGCCATGGAGGCAGAGCCATGCAAAGCCATAGGGGCAGGGCCTTGGGGGCCCAACCCCTACATGGCAAAGCTGCCATGCAGGGCCACCACCTCAGTAGGTCCAGAAGACAGAACTCTTACCCCAATGGGTTTGGAAGGTGGGACCTCCACCCCAGTGGGCCTGGAAGGCAGAGCATCAAGTCGAAGAAGGTAATTTTCAAACCTTAAGGTATAATGTTGTTGGGTTTTAGACTTACTTGGAATCTGTTACCCCTTTTTTCTTTCCCATTTCTCCCTTTTGGATGGGAATGTCTATGCTATGCCTGTCCAACCATTGTATTTTGGAAGCATATAACTTGTTTGATTTCATAGGCTCACAGCTGGAGAGGAAATTGCCTCAGGAAATTGCCTCACCCATATCTGATTTAGATGGTATTTACATGAGACTTTGGACTCTTGAGTTCATGCTGAAATGAGTTACAATTTTCAGGGCTATTGGGATGGAATGAATGTTTTGCATATGACAATAACATGAATTTGGGAAAATAGGGTGGAATACTACAGACTAAATGCCTGTGTGTCCTCTCAAAATTTATATGTTGCCAGACATGGTGGTTTACGCATGTGATCCCAGTACTTTGGGAGTCCACGGCAGGAGGATCACTTGAGGTCAGGAGTTTGAGACCAGTCTGGGAAACATAATGAGACCTTGTCTCTAAAAAATATTTAAAAATTAGCCAGATACGGTAGCACATGCCTGTAGTCCCAGCTACTCAAGAGGCTGAGGCAGGAGAATCGCTGGAGCCAGGGAGGTCAAGGCTGCAGTGAGCCATAATTGCACTACTGCACTCTAGCTTGAGTGACAGAGTAAGACTCTGTATCTAAAAAAAAAAATTTTAATTTGTATGTTAAACCCTAACCCTCAATGTGATGGTATTCAGAGTTGGGGCCTTTAGGAAGTAATTAGGTCATTAGGGCTGAGCCCTTATGCATGGGATTACTGCCTTTATAAAAGAGGCCCCCGAGAATTCCCTTTCCCTCCCACCACTTAAGGACACAACACAAAGAAGGCCATCTATGAACCAGAAAGCAGGCCCTCACCGGACATCAACTCTGCTGGCACCTTGATCATGGACTTCCTAGCCTCCAGAACTGAGAGAAATAACTGTTTACTGTTTATCAGCCACGCAGTTTATATTTTTGTTATGACCCAACGGACTAAGACAGAAGATGACACTCCAGACTTAGAAGCATTAAGATTTTGAAATAAAAAAATTTTCCTCATTTTGAGTCAGAAGTTCAATTATTATTTATTACATAATTAAGTAGATAGCAAAAAAAAAAAAAAAAAAACCACAGTGCCACCAGATTTGTTTACTTTCCAAATAAACATTAAATGAAAATAAAAATGAGTTTATATCTTAGCACATGCTTTGGTCAGTTTTCCAAAGTTATCTGCAATTAGACTGACAAACGGAAATCAAACAGAGTAAATGTGAAAGTCTGTCCAACATCACTGGTAATGGAAGAACTACAAATCAAAACAATGAGATACTAATGTTCATCTGTCTAACTCTACACAAATTTTATAATAACAATGACGAATCACACTGAGACAAGTACTTTCACATACTACTGGAAATGCTGAAAATTTCTCAAGTCCTTTAACTCATTAATCCCTCTTTTATTGGTTTATTTTATGGAAATAATCAGAAATATAGTAAAAGGTTTATGTTTAAGGATATTTGTGTACACTGGGATAGCCAATTTACCAAAATATTAACAGTGGTTATCTTTTGTTCTTAGAATTGCTGGTGATTTTTATGTTTCTAATTTTACTATTTCTGTATACTTATATTCAGTCCATTTCCAGTCATGTTCTAAAATCATGTCCTCAAATATTCTAAAAATATCACTAGCCAGCAAGATCACTGCTAATAGCAATAGGCAAGATAAATTGATTCCAATTCAAAAGTCTGTTTTCTACACAGCTCCATGATGATGATGTTCTCACACGAGAACATCTAGCTTGCTTGTTTGATGTCTTGTTTAATTATTGGCATTAGAATTAGTCAAACCTTTCCAATTTTCACTTACCTGGATTGGATGTGTACTGCATTGCGATCATTAGCATGGACGATGCAGAGAGGTTAACATGGGCAGGTACGCCTTCTCTCCTTGAGGAGCCCACTGCAACCAAAAGTTCTTTGATTAGACACAATTTAATCTCTACATATACCTGTTACTTTGCACAGAGCATGAGAGATAAGAAGGAACTTAAAAAAAAAAAAAAGCTCCAATAAAGCTAATGGAAGTTTTGCCCAAATGAAACCACAAAATGTGTCCTGGCATACAAATGCTATAGTTGTCATCTCCATGGGAAAATCAAGTGAGAATGTATAAGGAGACAGAACAGCGCCAGAAAGTGATGTAATGGCTTTATCAGAGTTGTACTTAGATGGGATCTCTACCCCCAAGATGTTTGTATTTAGATGGAAAAGAAAGAAAAAACAGAATCCTCTATGTGCCCAAAGATAAAGCCATGTGGAAGGGTATCCCAATGAGAAAATAAAAAGGAAAGGTTTTTAAACTCAAATTGAACATATTAATTTTTAGAGATGCAGATGAAATAATACTTTAATTATAATGTATAACATTAATTTAGTTACAATACAAACTCTAAATCACATATTATAAAAAATAATGATATATTAATTTAAAAATTTTCAATTTTCACATATCATTAAACAGTTTTATTCAAACCTTCACATGTAACTTCATCATCAATATCTTCATTACCATAAGAACCACTTTTTTAGTTTTCTAGAGCTTACCATCTTCATATTCATCTGAGTTGTTTGAAATAAAGCAATTTTTGAATCTGTGAATAACACAGTTGCTGGGCATTGTATCCTACGCCAACAAGCATAAAATCACAAAGCAAATTGGTTTCTTTAAAATCCACCTTATCGCTGTATAATCATGGTCTCCACTCACAAACTGCTTTTAAGACATCTTTAAGTGGCTTGTTTTAGATGACATCAAATACCATATTAAATTTCTTTATCTCTCTTTTTTAAGACAGTGTATCAGGTCACCCCTTTAAGTATTCAAAAGTAGCACTGATGGAAGCCATTTGGGGAAATACATTGTCTCCCAAGAGGACTTTCTTTCTTTCTTTTTTTTTTTTTTCTTAGACGGAGTCTCACTCTTGTTGCCCAGGCTAGAGTGCAGTGGTGCGATCTCAGCTCACTGCAACCTCCACCCTCTGGGTTCAAGCGATTCTCCTGCCTCAGCCTCCCGAGTAGCTGGGATTGCAGGCACCCGCCACCACACTCAGCTAATTTTTGTATTTTTAGTAGAGATGGGTTTCACCATCTTGGCCAGGCTGGTCTTGAACTCCTGACCTCGTGATCCACCCGCCTCAGCCTCCCAGAGTGCTGGGATTACAGGCGTGATCCACTGCGCCCGGCCCCAAGAGGACTTTCTTATTTCAAACACAGTAATTGAGAGAGGACCCACCTAATAAAAACTTTATTAGTACTCAAATATAAAATAAATTCCTCTTTTCTCAGGGAAAATTGCAGAAGCAGAAGAAACCTCTCCTTACACTTGGGCTTGTGTGGCAGAGTATCAAGCATGAACAGAATGGTGTGCAGAGAGCACAAAACCCTCAAAAAGTCAACCCTTACATTTCTAAATATAATAGAGAAGACCACTGCCACGAGCAACAACAAAAAGCAAATAACCTCAAAATCTGCTTGATTTTATTTTATATTAAAGTACAATAGGTGTGGATTTATCTCACCTACATCCAAAAAGGATAACTTCTAATAAAACACATGTATAATAGAATCATCAAAACACTAATAAAAATTTGTCATATAATAAATCAGAGGAGATTAAAAAATTTTAACACAATTCTTTTCTTTTTACATAAAGGAATTTGGGCACCAAAGTAGACAGTGGCCTTTAAAACAATTTTACAAAAATAAACAAACAAAACACATCTATCACTAAGTTCCATTTACTTAAGTTGGCTTTTATTAATTGCTTGCAGCTAGGCAGCTGCTAACCCACCAAGCAGGTGATACTCAGGGAGATAAACTAGTTTGGCTCCACAACTTATTAAATAAATAAGTATTAATAATTAGACAAAGATTGGGGATCAATTCACTGCTCTTAGACAGTCAAATTGATTAATCAAATGTGATTAATCAAGAAAAAAGAACTTTCAGCCAAATGCTAAGGAACAAAGTGCAAGCTGCTCTCAAACTGCAGCCAGGGAGTTTGTTCAAATTCAGCTTCTTTGGGGCCAAAGAAGACACTCCTGGAGAGTCAGCTTGGAAACCACATTTTCCAGTAAAGTACATGTTTAATTAATAAGCACATCGGGTGATTCTGATGCAAGCTGGCTTTGGACCACTGTTTGAGAAGTACTATTAGAGGGATGAGAAATAGGGAAGAAAATGCGCAGTAAGGTGTCCTGGGGCAGGAAGAATAATTGCACGCCCTGTGCCTTTTGTTAAAGAAAGAAAAGAAAAAATAAATTCTTGTCTCAGACGTATTCAAGAAATACACACACACACACATACATATATATATTCTTGTTTTGGGACAAGCGTTTCACCTTTGTTTAAATTCATCTCAAGCTTTTTAATAATATGCATTTAATAATATGTATTTCTCAACAATGAAAACTGCTATTAAGGAAGGCTGAGAGTCACTGTAAATGGAGGCCTTTAAAAGTGGGAGAGATGCCCACATGTCTCAGATGATTTAGGCGAAGTCTTTTTGCAGAATGGCCCAAATGGCTCAGCCACCTCTGGATGTCCCTGCTATTCCTACAAATCCATACTCTCCGTCAAGAATGACCAGCCAGGAGGTCAAAAGCATTCCCCTGGCTCAAGCCTAGAAAATTGGCTGCAATACTTACATAAACAGATGGTGCCTTGCAATTTCCTAGCCTTCTAACAGACTGAATAAAATCATTGCAATTCTAATTTAATAAACATGCACAGGCACACATCATTTATTGAATCTTGTTAAAAAGGCATGATGTAAACAGATGTGCAGCTTGTCCCCATGAGGGTGTAAAAAGCCAAGATTATCAACAATAGAAGGGAGAAGGTAATTAATCAAAATAAGAAAATTTTGCATTTAATATTGTGCTCAGGAAATACAATTAAAAGTTCTCAGTCCTATTCCCTATCCTCCCAGCATCACCAGAACAACCATTACCATGATCTCCTCCCTCCAGGAATAGTAACAATGCCTTAGTATGTTCCTACATTTTGTAGTTCTGAATGTATTATTATGTACAGCTCTTATATGACTCTCATCCAAAAGAGGAATTATATGGGAAAAGCCATTTTATAAAAGAGAGATCATCAAGTTATTTGCATGACAGCACCAACCTAATTATTCGGACTACAGGCCAAGTCACTTGACTTCATAGCTAATGCTCTATTCATTTTCTGTCTATTTTAGACAGAAATAGACTATTTCAACAACTTTTTTGGTCAGTACTTCCTGTATACTAGACATTGTTCTAGGTCCTGGGGATACAGTGCTAAAGACAGACAAGTCATCATTAAAAAGTCAGGAAACAGGTTCTGGAGAGGATGTGGAGAAATAGGAACACTTTTACACTGTTGGTGGGACTGTAAACTAGTTCAACCACTATGGAAGACAGTGTGGTGATTCCTCAAGGATCTAGAACTAGGAATACCATTTGACCCAGCTATCCCATTACTGGGTATATACCCAAAGGATTATAAATCATGCTGCTATAAAAACACATGCACACGTATGTTTACTGTGGCACTATTCACAATAGTAAAGACTTGGAACCAACCCAGATGTCCATCAGTGATAGACTGGATTAAGAAAATGTGGTACGTATACACCATGGAATACTACACAGCCATAAAAAAGGATGAGTTCATGTCCTTTGTAGGGACATGGATGAAGCTGGAAACCATCATTCTGAGCAAACTATCTCAAGGACAGAAAATCAAACACCGCATGTTCTCACTCATAGGTGGGAATTGAACAATGAGAACACTTGGACACAGGAGGAGAACATCACACACCGGGGCCTGTCATGGGGTGGTGGGAGAGGGAAGGGATAGCATTAGGAGATACACCTAATGTAAATGACGAGTTAATGGGACTCCAACATGGCAGCATACCAACATGGCACATGCATACATATGTAACAAACCTGCATGTTGTGCACATGTACCCTCGAACTTAAAGTATAATAAAAAAAAAAAAAGAAAGAAAAAAATACAGACAAGTCTTTGTCCTTATGGATCCTAGATGCTAGAGCTGTGTTACCCGATATGGTGACCACTAGTCACATGTGGCTATCTAAACTTAATTAAAATTAAATAATACTTAAAATTCCATTCCTCAGTCTCACTAGACACATTTTAAGAGCTTAGTAGCCACATGGGGCCAGTGGCTACTCTACTGGGCAGCACAACATTTTAATGTTTTTATGGAACATTCCATCATTACAGGAAGTTCTGTAGACAGCGCTATTCTACAAGAAAGGGCAAACAGGTACTTGTGGCAAAATGGAAGCAGTGCAAGGGAATAAAGAGAAAGTGATGGAAGGTCCTGTTTCAGCCAGAGGGTAAGAAAGGGCATCTTGAAAGATGTACTTGAGCTTAAACCTAAAGAATGTAAGGAAGCAAATAATCATGAGACCATTTGGGAGAAGGGCTTTGAAGACAGAATAAAGCATGGAGCAAAAGCAAAAGTGTGGTGCCTTTGGGAAACTGCAGAAAAGCCAAGCCTCCTGGAGCAGAGTGAAGACAAGGAGATGTAGTGATTGGAACAGGAAGGTAGGTAGGGATCAGGTCATAGAGGGCCTATGAGCCAAGGAAGGGCACTGAATTTGATTTGTAAGAGTGATGGGAAGCTAGGTGGTTTTGCTGAGGGAAGTGGCATGATGTGATTTACATGTCTGGAGGATAGCTCTGGCTTTTTGATGGAAAGCAGAAGGTAGGAGGGCTAAAAAGTAAGCAGGGAGACCAGTTCGGAAGCTACTGGACTGGCCCCAATGAGAGCTGGTGGTAAGAAGTGGCCTGAATGGGGATATACTGAAATGAATTCCACTGGCCTTATACTTATCTAAAGGGTGAAAGTAAAGGAGCCGTCTGGAAGGAAGAAACACACTA